GTTCACCAGAAGACACGTAGGAGACTTTGAAGTCAAATGGAAGAAACTTCTTTAATCTATTGAGATCAAAACTGTGCTTTCGGTTCATCCGACCATGTTAGGAGGACACCAGACGTACAGACTACATTGTCACAAACACACCATCCCTCCCAGGAAGCATGGTGATGAACACCAGCTTGTAACTCCTCTAGAGGAGTCACAGGTGTCTTGGTGGCCACTCTTGCTCGTCCATTTCATGCATGTTTGTGCGCCATGTTCCTACCACCTAATAATGACGTGTTTAACTGAACTCCAATTGGATTTTCATTGAATTGGAAATTTTCTTGTATCCATCCTCTGACTTATACTTTTTAATAATGTTTTCACAGAGTTCCTCAGATTGTTCTGTTGTCTTCACGGTGTAGTTTTGTTCGTATTTACCAGTGGCTGGACCTTCCAGATACAGGTAACATAATATTACCTGTTTACCTGTAAACCTGTACAGTTTACCTTTAATAAAGTTATCAGCATAATATTTGAACACAAACACGAGAAAACTTTCTTGATGCCGACCACCAAAAAACCAAGCAGAAGAACAAAACTAGCCCAACCTTTCATCTGTTTTCTTATTCCTATTGTTGTTCATAATACTATTAATAATAATTTATCAGTCTATCTGTCATTTTAGACCACATAAAGTGAAAAGTGAGCTGTGGCAGTGTAATTCATTGTGGATTCTATTAACGCCTGGACATTACATACAAACTAGTATGCAAATGTCTGCGAAAGTCAAAAATTCACAAGTCCTTGAGAGTTGTGCATCTTCTGTGCGTTTTCTTGACAAAGAACTACAGAGTAAAGCAAAGAAATGAACAATAAGTCTAATGACAAAACTATAGTCTGTATAAAAGATGGATGTAGCAACCGGCCCTGAAAAGTGAAGCCAACCCGGAAGTGTCAAAAACTTGCAGTATCACTACGTCCACTAGTTGCTGGCTCCAAAAAGCCCTGGCTCCCATAGACTGGAATTGGAAAAGAAATGATCACAGATCACGAAATACTGCATTCCTACAGCTCAGGATTTTTTTTCTTATTAGTTTTCATAGTTAAATCCAGAGATCAGGTGGCCAATCTGAAAATAAATCAATACTGAATTTTTAAAAAATCGTCAACATTTTGCGGGGCAAGGGGCGTGGCTGGCTTGATTGACAGTCGGCAGCGACGATGCAGACGAAGCGAGCAGAAGGCGGTAAATGTGGGCGGGCAGAGAGGGCCCGCCTCTCAATCCGTCTGACCAATCGCTGCTCCTATGGCTCCGCCCCCCTCCAACGATTTTTGCGTCACTGGCTCCAAAAATCCAAGATGTCAACCAGGAAGTAGCAAAACCCTGACTTCATTTTCTCAGTGCAGAAACCAACGTCACGGTAGCTACGTCCATCTTTTATACAGTCTATGGACAAAACATGTTTTACCTTTGGGTAAAGTGAATACTTAAGTTAGAAAGCTTTGTGTTGACTTTTCCTAAAAGACAGTTTCATAAATGCTTATTTGAGAGGAATCAAATGACTTGAGTAGATCTAAATTGGCATTAATTGTGTGGCTTCTACCACCAACTGGCTGCACCTGGGTTGAGTTAAGTGAGTCACTTTAATTCATCTATTTTGTATTTTTAACCAGTTTAATTAAATATTTGTAAAAATCTGCTTCCACGTTGACATGAAAGAGCACATTTTGGTGGATTATTGTCCAAAAGGCAAATTTATATTGACAATATGTTGAAAATAAAAAAGTGAATATGTTTTATAGGCGCTCTAGTTATTGGGGGCTTCCTTCCAACTACAAGGTTCATTGAGGTTGTTGTGCAGATGACTGTATGAAGGTTTAGTGCTGGGGATCCGGGGTAAAGCAGGAAGAGATGAGGACGAGGCTTCAGTATTGTGGATGTGCCTCAATAATGTCTCTAAGATGACATATGAGTGTGTTTACCATGCGTAGGTAGTTCATGAGGCTGGTTCCGTGCTGCCAGATGAGCGGCGAGGTGCAGCTCAGCGGCTTCACTCCGATCTCCTGACTGCGGTTCAGCTCCCGCACGGCGCTCACCACCACATGGACGGCGTCGAACATCAGGGCCGACGACAGCTAAAACAAACCAAAAAAAACTGTGAAAACATGAACATAACTAGCATAAATGAAGCTGAAGTGAAATCGAGGCCAACAAGCTACTTGAGTGTTTACATTCCAGTGTTCAGTGGTTTATCCAGGACTAGCGGGTGGTGAAACAACAACACAACTGCTGTTTAGTTCCAGCACCCTAAAACCTCAAGCTGTGAGTTTTTTTGCTTGTGTGCAGATTCGATGGAACGTTTCAAACAAACTCCCAAACGCTTGTTGTGTTTTTATATAATCGTCAAGCAAATTGGAAGTGAACGTTTGTTGAGATGTCGCCAAAAATTGAAGAAAGAAAATGTGACTTTTTTTTTCCATGAACTGCTTTGGAGAGAACAAACCAGTTGTATAGGCTGTTACACATGGCTGCAACAAAGACTGGAGAGGAAGAAGACGGCAACAAAACCAGGTGTTTGGGAACCTTGAAGAAGAAGAAACTAACAAAAACTCTTCATCTACGAGAGAAAAATGGAGGGAAGTCTTCAGGATTTGTTAGTTATTTTTTCATTTCAGCTGATATCGGCCATGACTTTTGCTGTCTGGAGTTTCTAGAAGCAGAAAAAGCCGATTAGTTGTGTGACTTAAATGTTCTCTACATCAGAACTTATACAAAAAGAGACATTTCGATCTCCCACGAGGCTCATTAACGCTTAAGAAATAGTCAAAAACCACCTCAAGCAAGTGTAACCTTTTTTTTTTTTTAAACATTTGACATTTCTATCAACTTTTCTAATGCAACACCTCCAAATGTCCATAAATATACATGAGGGACGCTTTTGATGTGCTCATCGACGAATGTGAGCTGAGAAAAAGTCTGACCTGGTGTAAAAGCTCAGTCATCCAGCAGTTCAGATCCGCTGACGTGAATTATGACTGTTGTGTGACACCAGGATTATTAACATACGCCGCCTTCCTTTTACTGCGACTGAAATGGAAGCAGTGTTATCGTGCATCGTTTTCTGCTGCGTCACTTTTGCCAGAAATATATATACATGTGTGAATTTTTAGAGCTGGTTGAATAACATCGGTGTCACTGAGTCACTATTATATAGCTGTTATTCACTCTGTGATTCAGGAGCATGAGTAACTACACTATAAAAACTCATCTGTCACTGGAAAGGATTTGATACTTTGTTCGTAACTATCAAATACACAAAAATAGGAATAAAAACATTTTCACATAACAAGTCTGTTAAAATATCTTTGCAAAATAATCACAATTTTGTAAGTATTTGCTTTTTATTTAATAAATGAAACTGTTAAATTAACCGCTTAAGACCTGGCGTCCATATGCCTGGAAATCGCATTTTGGGTTTTATATATTACCACAGCAGTTAGGTTTGTTT